TGGGGGCGGGCGGAGGCCGCGCACTGAGCTAGCGGAGCGCGAGCGCCCCCAACCCTTGCTCACCGCAGCCCGGGCGTCCTCCGGCCGGCCGCGCCCCGCCCCCGCTGCCGCTAACGCCTTTCTTTGTTGTCTCATGCGAGACCCGCAGCCTCGGGACACTTGCATGTACCTATCAGCCAGGGACAGCCACTGTCCCCAGGTCTCCTCTTTCTCCTGACCGAGAAAAGAAAACGCGTGCAACTCTGATGCCCGGCTCTAAGACAGAGATCCTTAGAAAGTCCCGTTAGTGTCGTCCAAATAAACCACCTCTAGAACCAGAGGTGCTAGAAAGGCCTGTCGTGTGCCCCAAAAGGTGGTTCCGACCCCTTGAACATGGAAAGCAGGACTCGAGGTGCTGGTGCACACGGGCAAAGTGTCTCTCTGGGTGTGGGCTGCCCACCTGCGCGGGAGCGCATAAAACACAAAGGCACACTCTCGGCCGCATCACAACTCGCGCGCACGCGCCCGCAATTCGGTATTCTTGGGCAGCACTTCCCCCAGCTGGCTCTGAAATTGTGGATCAGAAAGCCAGAACCCGGCTGCAGCCAGGGCTTGGCCAGCCTAGCCTCCGGCAGCCTCTGGAAGGCACCATGCCTAGGTCCTGCACCAGCTCCACGCAACGGCCAGAACCCCGGGTGACTGAGGCGCGCACGAACGCCGCCACCAAGGGAACGCCGGCCATAGCGCCAGCCGGAGACGCAGGGTGCGCGCCTGGTCTTCCGTCCCACCCCGCCCCACGGTCGGTCGGGCATGCGCAATGATCACGAGGAATGGTGGGGTTCTTTAAGGCGGGGCCCGGCAGAGCGCACTAGCCCTACCGGTGGCCCCGCCAGGACGGGAGGTGTGAGCTCGCTGCTCACCGCTTTGTGCACTTCTCGGGTGGGGGGTGGCGGCTCAGGGTGCAACGGGACAAGTAGAGAGAGACAGCTAGCTGCGCCCTCTACCGGATGTCCGGTGGGCCGCTCCTAGAGACAGCGAGGAGGAGGAGGAGGAGGAGGAGGAGGAGGCTTTGAGGGGCGGGCTGGGGCCGGGACTCTGCCTGCGGGGTGCCACTGAGCCCCCTCCCTGCTGGGTCCCCATCCACGCTGGCCGACGTATGCCCTCTGGAGCCCGCGCGGGATCCGCTCCTTTGTTCTGGCGCCACCGAGCTCGCTGCGCCCCCTGCGCCCGGTCTGGGGACGTTCCGCAGAGCGGCCGGGGTGCGGTTCACCGAGATGGCTAACATCCGAGCAGCCAGGCACCTACTAAAGACAATGAGGCCATGTGGCCGCGACAGCGATGAGCTTACTCATAAGACCGCTTGTGCCGCAGGGCAATCATAGGGCTCCAGAGCCCCAAGTGAGCCCTGCTGGACTACTGGAGGAGTGAGCAAGCGCCCCCAGGGGAAATCACACCTCTCGATCGAGAATCGCGAGCGACAATAAATGAGAGCGTGCTTTGTCATCGGTGGACAGTTATGCCAACGCCTTTATTTTGGCGAAAACAAAGGTGTTCTCTTCCTCACGTGCTCACCTGGAGCTGTCTTGGGGAAGAGGTGCTGATTATTCCCTTAGGGAAATGCAGCTCAGGAGCCACTTACCGTAGCTATTTCCTCAGGATGCTTATGTCACCTTCCAGGAGACTGGTGTGCTTTTTCTTTAAAAGGAATGCTTGTGTGTGGGGGGGGGGGGGGGGGCGGGGGGTGTTAATCCGTTCCAGAGAGTCGCCACCTAGATCTCCAGCACAGCCTTCGTATCTTTTTGACCCGGTCTACGGACTCAAGTCCAGCTAATCTGAGAATGAGGGGGTGCCCTTGAGGATTCCTGTGGAGTGGGAGGCACCCGGGACGCCCTGGCTGGGGAAGGCCCAGCTTTCAGCCCCCCTCTCCCTCCACTCCCGCGGGGCCTGTAAGCACCAAGGCAGACGGGAAATACTCCCCAAAGGCCTCAGCCTTTGCATCTTGCCCACCCACCTGGTCCCTTTCTGGCCTATTTCTAGAAATCTGATAAGCCTCCCGCCTGAACCAGCTGACGGTTCCCTCTTCATAGGTCATGATGCAGTGACGGCCTTCCTTAGCAAATGAAGGTCTCCCCCCTCACCCCACCCCAAGGTTGCTTGTGCTGCCGTCCTGCCCCCCACTCCTCCCTGCAGTGGTAAGATTTCACCGGGGCTAACTCAGAAACTCGGACCCCAGGAATTCCCAGAGAGCTGCCAACCCTGAGGTGCCCAGGACATTCACCTGGCCCAGGTCACCCTCCACAGACCAGAATGCTTCAGGAAAAGCTATGCGGAGGTCAGCAGGGCTTCCTGCAGATGCCCACCAAGTGAAGCGGTTCTGAGAGTCCGGAGGGGGAGGGAGGACTGTGGAGGGGGCAGCTGTGGCTCTGACAGACCTGGGTCCCGTCCTTGTCCAGTGTCCCCTGTGAGTGTGTGTGTGTCAGTGCTTTGCCCATAATCATTTCTTCTTCACTCGTGTGCAGTACTGACTGATGCATGGATTTGACTGTGAAACTAACAATCTGGACATTTTGATTCTCCATGCATGGCTTTAAAGAGACAAAAGGCATCATCGAACTTGTGAAGCCCAGTTCTGTTTTTAAATGGATAATACACCCAACCCCAGTTTGTGGTTGGACTTTCCCAGGCTCCTTAAAGACCCCAGAGCTTAACTACTTTTCCTGATACAGGACGTGTTCCCCCAGGACGGCCCCAATATGGCCATATATATTTTTTATTAGCATGTGAGAGAAGCTTGCAGAGTACGGTCTGGTAATTGAGAACTTCAGTTGCCATAAAATAAGAAAAGGTAAAAAAAAGTCATGCAAAAACAGCTAAGATTAATGACACCACCTTGCACTAGCTTCCAGAGGCCTCAAGCCGTTTTGCACACATCTTGCTTACTTTTTACAAATTAAGGAGCTGGGGAAAAGAAGTTCTCTTGCAAAATAAGTCTGTACCCTCCTGGTCAACCCCTTGAACATCATGAGGCACCTACCACCTACCTCGTCACAAGCACAGAGGGAAGCACTGACAGAGAACGGAGCAAGGCGGCAGCCCTTGGCTGTGGCCCAGCCCCGTTCCGCACCAAGGGTGCTTGCCCAGACCCTAGGGTCCTAGGAGCGTCTCCCAGAGGCGGAAATATTAGCAGTAGTAACTCGATGCTCACTGAGTTTTAAGGGCGCAATGCAGTCTTGTCACTCATCGGTCACCCAGCAGAGACCTGAACGTGTTGGCTTTGTGTGCCTGAAACTTCACACCAACTGCACAACAAGTTCCCCCTTTCCTCCCCAACCCCCCAGTCCCTGGTAACCGCTGTCCTAGCCTCTGCCCCGCAGGTGGGCCTGGTTTAGATTTCTGATACAAGGGAGGGTCGTGCAGTGTTTGTTCTTCTGCAGTTTCACTCAGCTCAGTGTCCTCTGGGTTCATCCGTATTGTCAAAAATGTCAGGGCTTCCTTTTTTAAGGCTGAGTAATATTCCATGTTGTCCATACAACACGTCTCCTTCATCCATTCACCTGTCTGTGGACATCTGGGGCTGTTTCTGGATCTCAGCCCTTGTCAGCGATGCTGCCGGGGACAACGGGAGTGCGGAGAGCTCCTCGTGAGCGTGACCACACGGTGGTTCCATTTTCTGATTTTTTGAGAAAACCCCACAGTCTTTTTCCACAGCGGCTGCACCTTTCAACATTTCCACCAGCAGAGCACGGACAAGGGTTCCAATTGCTCCACACACCTGCCAACACTTCAGTGGAGTGTCCTTCTGTGACACTCACCCAACGCGTGTGCAGTGAGATTTCACTGTGCTTCTGACGTGCACGTACCTGACCGTTAGTGACGCTGAGGGAGCATCTCTTCATACAACTCCTGTCCATTCGTGCGTCTTCTTTGGAGAAGTGTCTACTCCACGCATTTGCCCATTTAAAAATTCTGCTCTTGGCAATGAAATCACAGATGGGACCCCAAACGCACACTCAGCAAAAGCAGACAGGAACCAGTGGGACCACCTGAAACTGAGGGCTTCCGCCCAGAGAATGAAAAGGCAGCCCACGGAGTGGAACAAAATATTCGAAAACCATGTGTTGGGTAAGAAATTAACATCCGAGACATACCAGGAAGTCCCACGGCTCAAGAGCAAAAACACCAACACCGTGACCGGACTGGAGAATGGCAAAGGACCTAAATAAATCAAACATTTCTCTCTCATAATCATCATACCAGTTGGACTTTACAATTATACAAACACACACTGTGTCCCTAATGTGTGGTCACGTACCACACATCTAAATAATTCAGAGTCATGAATCAAGTGACCGACAGTTGAGTAAACGGTGTCCTAACCTCCTACCTGGACAAGCAGTCTTCCCCAGTGACCCGGAAGGCCAAGGTTAGAATACACCTTGGGGCTCTGCCCTGGACCCCGGTCGTATGGGGAGAGGTGGCCTTGGCCATGACCCAGGACCCCCACCCTTACCGTCCCCCACCACCACCTCCAGCTCCCACCACTGCAAGGGCACCTCAAACGTGTTTGTAGACACCCAGCTCCACCTGCACCCTGCCCCCCGGAGCAGTCACTGCCTGGGGCACACCTGGCACCATGAGGTACACACACAGTAGATGGACTATCCAGGGAGGGGCCCTCGCAGACGCCGAGGCACCGGGGCCTCCTGGGTAGGGAAGTCCAGCTGTGGCTTCAGCCTAGGGGACAGCAAGAGGGGGACCCTCAGAATGATGGGGCCCAGGGCAGGGCCTCTCTGGTCTGACACGCAGAACCACTTAAGAAGCATAAAACGCTGATTTGAGCTATAGAATAGCAATCATGATAAGCACTGTTGTTAGCTCCACTTTATAAATGGGAAAAGATTTTGAGTAAACCAATGTACTACTGGACGGGAGGGTCATAAGGCGTTCTTGTAACGTTTCTCCCTGGCGACTTCCTCCCATTTCCTTCCTCCCACTCCGCCCCTCCTCCCCCCGCCCGGTTACACAAACAGGGAGAGAGTGCCCTGTGTGCCAGGCCCCGCCCGGCCTGGAGGTCAAGGGGAATGCTGCTGGGGAGTTCGCAAGGTAATGAGACTGGCGTCGCTCACACCCCCATGAGCCTATAATTACAAACTGGGGCGCGTGCACGGACTGGTGAGCGTGTGTGGATGTGCTGGTTGCCTTTGATTCGTGGTTTCCTGCTGAGACAGGGAGGAATGCAAATCTGTTTTTCCTTAAAGCCAGGGGCCTTACATGGTTTCACAAACCTCCGAAATGGATGCACACCATGCAGCCAACCAGAGCCGGGGATGCTTCCTGCAATGATTTAAGCTAATTGCATTAGATTCACCCTGAGACGCGAGTGAAACCGGCCCAACAGTGTCAGAGGCGCAAACTCCCGCAGTGTTACAAAGCCAACTGTCCGAGGACAGAAGGTGGGTTTTTTTACTTGAGTCCCTGGTACCAAATTCTCACAGAAACGAGGAAGGCAGGTGGGAAGGGACCTCCAAGCCCTTGTGAGAGACCGGCCTCCCCTCCTGATGTCCCTGGGTAGAGGCAGGGCGATGGCGTGGGTGACGCCAGGCCTCCCGTAACTTTCCTTCCAATCACCCTGCTCCAGGTGACCCAGGGGTCCGGAGCAGGCCTCGGACAGGGTGGAGGCCCCAGCTCTCAACAACCGCAGCCCGTGTGATGGGACTTCTGTGCAGTCACTTGTGTTCTCCACCTGGACTCGGGCAGGGAAGGCTTTGCACTGCGTGGGGGAAGCCCAGCAGGAAGACCTGCCTGCGCCATTCACGCTGGCGACCAGGGTTTCTGGTCACGTGCTCATCTTCTGTCTCTTCACTAACAGTTTGCATGGTTTCCCACAGGGAGTAAATAAATCCCCACGAGATTTACCTTGCGAAAGGGAAAATGATCTCCCTCCCACAGACTCAGGGGTCGATCAGGCAAATGCTGCTTGAGAGGCAAAAGCAACTGAACCTTCCCCTGTTCTCCTGTCCTGTCCTGGACTGGATGTGACAGCTCTTTAACACTTTTGTTTATCTCCTGTAGAGGAACACCTTATTTTAGGGATTGCATTTGAGTACGCATGCCAGGGTTTTCCAGCACTTTCCCTTTTTTTCAGCTTTGGGGGGTGCCCCAGGGGAAGTGGGCCTCCCTGGGGTGGGTTGCGGGCCTGTCCCCAGAGTGTCCCCTGCGGCCAGACAGTGCAGGAGGCCGCACTAGGGACCGGCCTGCCTGGCTCCAGCAGCTGAGCTGTCCAGCCCCACTGCTGGGCCCCGCCTTCGGTCCCCTCTCCACTGTGCCCCCAAGGACACAGGGTCCCCTAAGTCATTTACAAACTAACACAGATGGGTGGTCTTTGTTGTCGTCTTCTTTTGTGTGTGTGTGCAGGATTTGGGAAAATACGGAACAGAAGGAAAGGATGAGAATGTGGCAGAGGAAGGGCGACAATCTCGTCTGCGGAGCAGTTTCCATCCTGTCCAGCTGCAACTTTTGATGAACCTCTGACAGGCCGGCGAGCAGGCAGTGAGCACTCAGGAGGTGGCCAGCTCGCTCAAGGCCAAGGCAGAGGAGAGGCAGCTCGTGAAGCTTCTGGGGCTCCAGGACTTCACCGCCAGCACCAGCACCATCGCTGTCACTGCTCACTCTCCCCGACCTCACCCTCATCAGGTCGTTACCACGTTACCCTGAGGCGCTTGGTACACTCGTGGGTTTGGCTGCTGCGCTGGGCGTGCCTGACCTCCCATGAGTGATTCTGTGGCTTTGTCTGTGAAATGAGACGGCGGCAGGGCTCCCCCAGAGGGCTGCCATCTTAAACGGGCACTCGCATCTGCAGAGGGCTCCGCAGAGGCCAGCTCCCCCGACTCCGCTGGTTAAAATCACTTTCCTTCCGTAAACTGTGGGCTCCGAGCACATGCCTCCTCCCCACTGAAACCTCCTAGATGGAGTCCAGAATTCAGACTGATCGCTCTCCCCTTGCACCCCTCAGCCAAGAGTCAGGGTCCCCGGTGGGCGCCCCCTTCCTGAGGTTGACATCCTCGGTGATCTCACTTCACCTCCCCTGCAAGGCTGCACTGTGGGTGGGGAACCCCCGCCCTACTTTCTCCTAGCTCACGCACTGCCGAGTCTCCGTGCCTCAGTCTCCACCTCTGGAAGACAGGGGTATTCACAGCACTGTGCTCACGGAGGTGGCATGAGACCTAAATAAAATGCTACACGTAGCTGTGGCTGGTGTGGCTCAGTAGACTGAGTGCTGGGCCTGCAAACCAAAGGGCCACCGGTTCAATTCCCAGTCAGGGCACAGGCCAGGGCTGCAAGCCAGGCCCCCAGTAGGGGGTGTGTGAGAGGCAACCACACACTGATGTTTCTCTCACTCTTTTTCTCCTCCCTTCTAACAATGAGTAAATAAAATCCTTAAAAAAACAAAAAAACCCGGCAGGCTCTGGCACCCTGGGAGCAACCTCACGCGATGGATGCGTCGTCATGTGGAGTCGCGGGTGTGGGGGTGAGGGGGCCGGGACTGGAGGGAGCACGGTGTGGCAGCGGAGAAAGCCCTCGGCAGATGGCAGGCCCGGCGAGAGCAGTGACCATCCCCCTTCGCAGGGGGCAGTCTACAGTCACACAGATGCTTCTGTCCACACGGCCCTGTGACCCGGGGCGGGGAGGCCCCACTGTAGGCCCCACTGTTCCCCCGGGAGCCGCATCTGCGCCAGGGCCTCGACACCACGTGTGCCTGCCCCCCGAAGCGTCACATCTGCGAGGAAACCCAACCGCCTCACACAGACCGGGGCCAGCTGAACTCTGAGCACACTCAGGATGCACAAACAGGGAGAGAAAACCAGCCAGGACAAGTGCGTCTGAGGGAACTCCCTCATTCGGCGGGCGGGCGGGCAGTCAGTCGCCAGCCTCCGCAGCACCCCCCACCCCCCACCCCGCTGGGGCAGAGAACGCATTCACGAGGCCTGCTTCTCTGGGGGTGTTCCTTTCTTCCAAGGTCAGCTTTTCATTTGGACATAACTCCGAACTTACACAGAAGTTGCAAAAACAAGAACAGTACACAGACCACGTGTGTTCCTTGCCCACGGTTGTCATGCATCACGACGGCTGTATCTCTCCCTTCCTGGACGTGGACGCTGGTGCATCGGCCCTCACCACACACACATTTTTGGAACCTCTGGGAGTCCGCGTGTACGTGACCCCTTCCCCCACCTTCCTCACCTGCACTTCCTGAGAACGGCACTCATTTGTCCTTGCAAACCCGAACTACAGTTACCAACCTCGGTAAATTCAGCACTGAAGCAGTATTTTTATCAAATCTACCGTCAGTGAGGGTCGGCATAAAAAAGATGAAGGTCTCAAACAGAGTCGTCATTATGTTAAACCCTCGGCCTTTGGGGTGCATTTTAAACCATCCACAACAGACAGGGCTTGAAGCAGCGCCCCCAGCCCCCTGCCGTCCTGTTCCGGTTCCGGGGAGCAGGCCGGTGTGGCGGGTGCTCTCGGAAGGCGGCCCCAGCCGGAACTACCTGCGTGAGTGGGGTCCGCCGTCAACGTCAGCGGCAGAGCGCCTCCCCTAGGCCAGGCACCGCAGGTACAACAAATGGGAGAGGCGGCCACTGCCCCAAATTTGCTCTCATGGAAGGTGAGAGCCCAAACTTAGGAGGAGGAAGAACGTGGTTGTGCTACTTGCTGCGAGACACAGGCAGGTCACGATGCTCTGAGCCTCAGTCCCCTGAGCTGTGACACGGGGGGAAGAGCTAAGAGCCACCTGGTAGGGTCGCTGCAGTGGTTCAGCGGGACTGTCTGTCCAGGGCTCGCACGGTGCCTGGTACACTGAGCTGCTCATGAAGCGCCAACTCGTGTGACGGGTCGGGACAGGCATACACACCACACACCTTTAATACAATCAACCAATTGTTACAACAGCAGCCTCCACCACCAAGATGTATGTCCTCGGAGGGCCAGCCTGAACTGAGACTGGAAAGGTGATGTGTCAGTCTGACTGCAGGGGTGCAGAGGGGGCTGCAGAGGGAAGGAGAAGGGAGGGGAGGGGTCCTTGCAGGGGACGTTGCTTGTAGGAAGCGCGGACGACCGAGACCAACCCCTTCCTTCACTGTGGCTGAGCTCAGAGCTGGAGGTCCGTGGGCCATGATGAGGCTGGAGAGCCCAGGGACACACTGTGGCAGGAGGGATCTGCAGGTGAAGTCCCTGTGCACAATCACACACCAACCCAACCAGCCACACTGTCTTCTGTCACTTGTGCATTGCTGGGCACAGGCCAGGTGTGGCAGGCGGAACAGGGCCAACTCGGCTGCCGTGGCAGGTCGGCCAGCCCCTCCCTCCCACTGTCTTAACACATCCAGATGTGTTTTCACAAAAAAAATACTGGGTTTTTTTCTGATTATAAAATGAATAATGCTTACTATAGATGATTTTGGAGGAAAAAAAATGTTTTAAATCTGTTTCCCCACTTTCAATTTAAGGAACTCTCACGCCGTAATAGCTTTGTTATTGGGCATACGAAGCCCAAATTAAAAAGCAGGTTAGCAGAGTATTCAGTCGCGGCCACCCCGCAGCCTCCCCTTCCGCCCACAGCCTGGCAGTGCCAGGGGAAGCCCACCGCCCTGCCTGGTCCTGACACATTCTCACCCACTAACTTCTTCCTCCCAGGGGGAACAGCCCCACGGTGGGACATAACCGGCCGGTTTCCCCAAAGATGGCCCTTTTCGCTGAATGGAAAAACTCTAGCTTGGACGGAACTGGAGAGCATTGTGCTGAGTGAAATAAGCCAGGCGGTGAGGGGAAAAACACCATTATGATCTCACCTTTAACAGGAACTTAATCACCAAAAGAAAAAAGCAAGCAAAATAAAAGCAGAGACATTGAAATGAAGAACAACCTGACAGTAACCAGAGAGGAGGTGGGAGGGGATAACGGGGAAGGGTTTTCAGGAACAACTACACAGGACACACGGACAGAACCACGGGCGGGGGGAGAGGTGGAAGCAAGGGAGGGAGGTGGGTTTGGCTGGGGTGGGGGGTAAATGCGGACAACTGTAACTGAACAACAATAACGAAAAAAATAATAATACCAACAAACTCTAGCTTTTAAATAACACCCATCAGTGGTGTTTCTTCACTGGAAGCTGCCAGCAGAGCCCCTGGGGGCCGTCTGCTCACACAGCCATCTCCCCTTCCCCCTGCCTCCCCCACTGGGGGCTGGGCTGCAGCTCCCCAGGAGGTAACGGGTGGGCCGGCCAGAGGGCCTTTGTGTATCCACCTCCCAGTCAGGGAGAGGGGCCCCAGAGGGAACTGGTTACTCCAAAGCCCAAAGCTACAGTCCCTTCATTACAGCTCCACTCACCCGGGTGCTGCTTTAAATAGCCCCATCCCCTGGGGCTGCTAAAACACAGTTCAGTTTCAGAAAGTAAGCCCTGGCTGGCGCTTCCTCTCCCACATGCTAAGTGGCGTGAAACTCCGCTCCGTAACGTCGGCTTGGCTCTGACAGCCGAGAAAACGGCTCTGCGTGAAAACGTCACAAAGCAGAAATATGACTCACCCACGTGACTTGTCCTGTTAACTGTCTTTAAAAATGTTTCAATCAGACTGTCAGCGGATTTCTCAAAAGAGACCCTACAGGCAAGAAGGGGCTGGACAGAGGTATTCCAAGTCATGAAATCCAAAGACCTACAACCAAGATTGCTCTATCCAGCAAAACTTTCATTTAGAATGGAAGGGCAGATAAAGTGCTTCCCAGATAAGATCAAATTCAAGGAGTTCATCATCACCAAGCCCTTATTATATGAAATGTTAAAGGGACTTATCTAAGAAAAAGAAGTTAAAAAAACATGAACAGTGAAAGGACAGCAAACTCACAGTTATTAACAACCACACCTAAAACAAAAGCAAACTAAAAGGACAGCTAGATCAGGAGTGGAAACATAGAAATGAAGATCTCAAGGAGGGTTAGCAACAGGGGAGTGGGAGGAGGAGAAGGGGGGAGAAGGTACAGAAAATAAGTAGCATAGACAGTAGATAGAAAATAGCTGGGGGGGGGGGCAAGAATAGCATGGGAAATATAGAATCTAAAGGACTTGAGACACATGGTCATAAACTAAAGGGGGGTAATGGTGGGGATGGGGGGGCAGGGTGGAGGGGAATGAAGGGGGGAATAGAACAACTGTAATGGCATAATCAATTAAAAAATAAATTTAAAAAAATGTTTCTGCTGTTCTGATCTGAACAGTGTTGTATACAAATGCTGAAAAAGGGTTGTGTTCCACTTCGGCAGGGATTTAAGGTACATCAGAGGAGGGAGGAGGTTCCCCCAAATATCTGGAACTCGAGTTTGGCCTCTCATCTTCAGCTTCACGTAAAATTCTTGGGGGACGTAGCTGGACCTTCTGCACCAGAAGCTGCAGCTGCCACGGATGTGGCCTGGGGGTCCCACTCTCTCCAGAGCCCACCTCTGGCCAAAGCACGTAACAAGCTACAGCCCCTCCCGAGAGCTCCGCCTGGCGTGTCCCCCCCCACCGCCTGAGCGTCTAGTCTCTCTGGCCTGGGACACGGCCACGCCTCACTGTCACATGCACACATTTCTGCGCCCCTTCTCCCGACCTTTGTGAAAAGCTAAAGACCAACACGTACTTGAGAAACATCTGACAGAGTTCTTAACAGGAGTTAGAAGAAAAAAAATACCATTTTCTCTCTGCCTTTATGCTTTTATTACGTTTGGTGTTATTTGTGGTTTCTTCGTGGCAATGTCTCCAAGGAAGCTTCTGTGGATACCTTTGGGCATCTACTCGGGTGTGATGTCATGCCCTCTGAAAACGATGACGTCACTGTCTCTTTTTCCAATATCATACTCCTCTTATTTTTCACGTCCAATTACATTGTCTAGTCTTTGCCCTGCTTCAAACACCCATGCAGTTCTAACAAGTTCAGATGCTGAGTTTCTAAACTAACATTAGATCAGCAGTAACAAACTAGAAATGATTAGAAAGGACCCAAAAAGAGCTAGTGAACAGGAAGTCAGTGTAGAAATCTGGGCCATTATGTGGGAAGACGAATAGTGTTGGGCATCTCGAGTCTTGAGGGCTTGAGACCACACTGTACGTTCGTCCAGCCTTTGACCAAGCCCCTCCTCTGTGCCAGGCTGTTGCTAGGACATGAGTTTGCTATTGCTTTTCATTGCTAGTTACAGAGACCCAAAATAAGAGTGGCTTAAACAAGCTATAGGGGGTATTTTTCTATCACATAACGGGAAACCCAGAGGTAGGGAGCCCATGACTGGAATGATGAGTTCCTGATTTCATTAGTACCCTTCCTTCTATCTTTCTGCTTCACCCTTCTTAGAATGCTCAAAATCACCCCCATGGTCACAAGATGGCTGCTGTG